CTGTCCTTTCATCACTTCCCAGAAAACTAAACAAAGTTCACTTTTGGCCTGAGATGAAGATGGTCGTTCAGACGTTGGGGTTGCCAACAGTCCCTTAAAATACAGAATCATCCCGTATTTACAAAACTAAAAGACGTGTCGCTTATTTAACTGATAAGAGGCGCATTTTGCTTTTTAAAAATATATGTCTGAGCAATGACACCGTACAGCTCTGACTGCTGCTGCTTTTTCTCTCTGTCCGGAACCAATGAGAAGTGACGTGTCACTGTTGCCGTTATTAGAATGCTCTTCTTATTGACCAATGAAAAGTGGTGTCAGTGTTGCTATGATACTCCAGTGACGCTGCAAGTTTAAAAAAAACATGGCTGACGCTCCACCGGTAAAAACGGCAAAATGTTTACAGAAATATAGAGCAGAATGGCAAAGTGAAAACAAATGCAGAGCTGCCAGCTCTCACGCATTGAGACTGAGACTCACGCAATTGACACTTTTCACATGCTCTCACGCCATACATCAATATTCTCATGCATTGGAAAAACAAATGTATATATGATAACGTCCACTCGGCGCAAATTAACTCCGACCACCTGATGCGACACTGCCGCTCATCGTGAAGGTTCTATGACGGTCAGACGGTCTGAAGGGGACACTGCCGTATCAGCGGAGCAATAAGGTAATGCACAGCAGAGTATAGGCAAAGTCCTTATGGTATAGAGCAGGTACACGTTTAAAAGATATTGAGACTTATCATTAAATGATGACGTTAGTGCCACAGACAATTTTCCATCCGTTGCGGTGGAATTACCGATGTAAGAAAACATGGATCCGGAGAGAGTCATAAAAGGAATGAGAGGCTTCGGAGGAGTCTGGGAGCTCTCTAACAGTTTTTTGTTTGCCAGGCATCTGCTAGCCTTGCACAGCAATGAACAGGGAAAATGTCTTGCTTAGCTAGATATACCATAGCCCATTAATCGGATTTCTTAAATTTCTTACAAAAGTATATTGTAGCCTATAATGATATACAGTAAATGTAATAAAAATGCAGTCCTGCAGGTGTAAAACATGTTGTGTTATATCTGTTATATGTGCATATGCCTGCACTACCTGTCCCCTGTCCCTTATTTCCACTTCAGGTTGAGTTGGCAACCATACAACCACCATAACGACTGTCATTCCAACATCCAGGAGCACAATCGATCGAGTGGTATCAATCATTTAGACAACATCCCCCACAGAGGTTAAATAGTTGAGTTTCCCTACCAGTCAGTCAGAACTGAAGAAGTCTCTTGGATGGGGGACAAAACATCTTCGAGTATCTTCAACCAAGTCCACTTGCCCTTGATTTTAACTTTCCTGAGATAATTATGACCTGGATGACTGAGAACCTTCACAGACAAAGTCAACAAACTGACTAATCAATGTAAATTAAATGGCTGTCTCTTTTAATGTTATATTGCTAGAATTAGCCACCATACAATACTGATCATACCAGAACAAAACTGTAGAAGGAAAACCTCTATAAGCACGGAAAAGAGCAAAATTGTGTCTTTCTCCTGTCTTTAGTAGAGGAAGATGGTGTTACTTCTATATTACAAGTAGGCCTACGTGATCGACTTCTTTTAAATGAAAGAAAAATGTTCATTAGTAAAGCAACAAGTAAAAGCAGGCTGAACTTGACAAAAGTAAACGTGTAATTTGATAATATAGGACGATACGTTAGGTTCAACATTGGCTCAGTTTTCCTGTGGATGCATGTATTTTCTTTTATAATGTATCAGTTATTTGAGTTGCAACTTATGAGAAAGTAAATTCTTTTGTCCTTTTTTGCGGATGGCAAAGTGATATGTGGTGGGCAGTGCTCTGCACTCACCACAATAACAAAGTGCTGACGGGAACTTTGGCAAGTGGGCGAGCCTTCCACTTTGTTTTACTGCAGTTCATCATTCAGCTTTATTTTTTAGTCTGCACACGAATAGACAGGCGGATGAATTTCTCCCATTGGGTTTGAGTTTTCCAACTTGAACTCAACATGCTGCCATTTTTTTACTGAAGAAATTATGAAGGCAGGCTCCTATCAGGTGGTGCAGGTCATTTCTGTAAGATACGCTTCTTCTATGGTCTCCACCATGAATTCCTTTTGCCCTGTTCACCCAGTCTCCTAAATGAACTTTGCTGTTGTCCTCCAACTCCATCCTGTTGTTTCTCACAGCTTATTGTGTACATTTGTGTTCTCCACAGTATCATAATGTTTGTCTTTTCCTTTCTATATATATATTTAAGCATAACTTTGAACATTGTTTTTAAAGCTAAACGCTGCTAGCTTAAAGTTACCTTAGTAAATTAAGCTAACGCTCCTGTTCGGCTTTGTGTTCATTTAATTTGTGTTGGAGCTGGAGCAGCAAGTTTCATCTCCATGGACATTGTGTTGTATTATTTGTCATTGTTAGGATTGATGATTTATCGTATGGGTTTATATTTGGGTTGAATATTTTATTACGATGCCCCTTAAGTACTGTTCCTGTGTGGGCGTGAAGCTGGAACAGACAGTGTTTTATACATGTTCTGCTTTATTATTCGTCTGGTTGCATTGGACTTTTAAACACTGAAAGCTACTCATTAGCCTCCTAGATTTTCACAGACTTCAAGGATATATGTCCTATCAACGTCAAATTAGGCGATAAGGTTGCCAGGGTCTTACTGAGTGTAGGGGTCAATGTAAAGCCTAGAGCTTGACTAAATATTCAGATACATGTACACATACACAAAAGACCCTATTAAAAACGATCTAAACCCCAGATACAGCACCATTTCATACATCCAGACACTGTGGAGGACCCTTGTGCTGTTCACCTTCCTAGACATCCCTTTCCTTATGTCCAGTTTATAATTTGACTTCAAGAAAGGGGGTTGAGATGGCCCTGTGTATAAGACACATGTTTTGGTGTAAGAGACCCGGGTTCAATTCCCCATTGTGACATCCACCAATGTGTCCCTGACACATTGCTGCTACAGAGGCATGTGACCGCTGATATACACTCACCTAAAGGATTATTAGGAACACCATACTAATACTGTGTTTGACCCCCTTTCGCCTTCAGAACTGCCTTAATTCTACGTGGCATTGATTCAACAAGGTGCTGAAAGCATTCTTTAGAAATGTTGGCCCATATTGATCGGATAGCATCTTGCAGTTGATGGAGATTTGTGGGATGCACATCCAGGGCACGAAGCTCCCGTTCCACCACATCCCAAAGATGCTCTATTGGGTTGAGATCTGGTGACTGTGGGGGCCATTTTAGTACAGTGAACTCATTGTCATGTTCAAGAAACCAATTTGAAATGATTCGAGCTTTGTGACATGGTGCATTATCCTGCTGGAAGTAGCCATCAGAGGATGGGTACATGGTGGCCATAAAGGGATGGACATGGTCAGAAACAATGCTCAGGTAGGCCGTGGCATTTAAACGATGCCCAATTGGCACTAAGGGGCCTAAAGTGTGCCAAGAAAACATCTCCCACACCATTACACCACCACCACCAGCCTGCACAGTGGTAACAAGGCATGATGGATCCATGTTCTCATTCTGTTTACGCCAAATTCTGACTCTACCATCTGAATGTCTCAACAGAAATCGAGACTCATCAGACCAGGCAACATTTTTCCAGTCTTCAACTGTCCAATTTTGGTGAGCTCTTGCAAATTGTAGCCTCTTTTTCCTATTTGTAGTGGAGATGAGTGGTACCCGTGGGGTCTTCTGCTGTTGTGGCCCATCCGCCTCAAGGTTGTGCGTGTTGTGGCTTCACAAATGCTTTGCTGCATACCTCGGTTGTAACGAGTGGTTATTTCAGTCAAAGTTGCTCTTCTATCAGCTTGAATCAGTCGGCCCATTCTCCTCTGACCTCTAGCATCAACAAGGCATTTTCGCCCACAGGACTGCCGCATACTGGATGTTTTTCCCTTTTCACACCATTCTTTGTAAACCCTAGAAATGGTTGAGCGTGAAAATCCCAGTAACTGAGCAGATTGTGAAATACTCAGACCGGCCCGTCTGGCACCAACAACCATGCCGCGCTCAAAATTGCTTAAATCACCTTTCTTTCCCATTCTGACATTCAGTTTGGAGTTCAGGAGATTGTCTTGACCAGGACCACACCCCTAAATGCATTGAAACAACTGCCATGTGATTGGTTGATTAGATAATTGCATTAATGAGAAATTGAACAGGTGTTACTAATAATCCTTTAGGTGAGTATATATATACAGCAACTTGAAGTCGCTTTTGATGCAAAAGCATCAGCTAAATGTAAAATGGAAATGTAATTTGTGGTTTTGTGTTTCATTCTTCTGACATGTAAATCAGCTTTTTGTATGGATGTCCAGGAGATAATAACTGTGTTATAAAATTGCATCTACCAGGATATAACTGCTCTCAGGTCTGCTATGGTTTGCCTTAAGCCCTTTCCAAATATTTTATGGTCCGTCTCGACATTTCTTTTCAGTGTTTGAGATTCAATTGGCACCCTACCCTACCACCATCTTTTACCTCCCTTGTTTGTATTAAGCATTATGCGAACAAATCAACAACTGCACCAAGAAAGAAATGTGTGATATATGCTGGCAGTGCCACACACCTTTTTAGGCTACCATAGAGAGCCCTGGCACAGGTCGGTGAGTTGAGTATTAGCCTAACAACAGCACTTTTAACCTTCTCAAATATGGATTCACCAGGATAATGTGTGTGTGTGTGTGTGTGTGTGTGTGTGTGTGTGTGCATAGCCTATATATGAGGGCATATACTGTGGCTGAGGAACCCCTCCAAGCACATTAACGTGCACTGGAGGAATGGATGGGGGAGGCAAACATCATGGATCTGGTGGTGGCCTAGTTGTACATCAGTGGGATGGATGGAGGGTCAAAAGGACACATTCAGTAGGCCAGATAGATAGATAGATAGATAGATAGATAGATAGATAGATAGATAGATAGATAGACAACTCACATTCCATGTGCTTTTTCTTTGGAGCTGTCTGTTCATGTGTGGTGGCTTTACACACAGCTCGGGACACCTCGGATCCAGTCAGGCTGTACTGCGCCGCGGCGATGCGGTCTGTCAGCGTCTGCCCCGACATCTTCTCTCCGTGGAGCCCAACCTCGACTATCAAGCGTCCAATATGGTCCAATCCCCCCCCCAAACACCGTAATGAACGACCAGCCTCAGTAATCCCAGTTGCCCTCGAAAACACTACAGAAAGACAGCACTAGGGAAGAAATAGTAGGACACTTTCTATAGAACTGCAATTGATTAGAGTTGCATAACCCTACTGGGATTTTCTGATTCCCACTCAGTTGTGTTGGATCTGCACGCGTTTCTGGAATATTCACGAACTGACTTTCTTCCTTGGAGGTCAGTATCCTTTGAAAATGACAGTCTAAACATCCAACTTCAAAGTCCAATTTCTTACTGTTCCGCGTTATTTGTCGGCCAGCTTCCCTGGCAAAACGGTCCTCTCCGGATGATGCTCGTTGCTAACCTCCCCCCCTCCCTGTCTTCCTTCCTCCAGCCTCCTGGATAATCCTCACCACCAGTCCCACAGTCACAGTGTATCAGCGGGGCGTGCAGGGGAACATCAGACCCTCGCTAGCATCATCATCCCCCACCATCCAGTGCAGCGGTTTTTCCTCCTCCTCCCCAGCTGGACGCCTCCTCTCTGCCTCGGCCCACCGTCAGCCTGCAAGCCCCGGAGATGCGCGCTTCGACCCGGGTCGTTGGATGGCGGTGTTCTCAGAGGAATTACATCCTCTTGTTTATTTAATTATTAATATTTTTTATTTCTGACCACGCCCCGCCCCCCTCCTCTGAGTCAGGTGACGCAGTATTACAACCCTGCTGACGTATCTTTCATCGCGAGAGCTGGGAGTGGGATGGGTAAACGGTTAATAAAGCTTCTCTACAAACAAGCTTGATTCTTATTGGGCTGCTACCATACCATGAAGGTCATATAAAGCGTGCTGCCTCAGTTTACACTGTCTCTTTGATCAAGCATGCACACAAAAAAGAATTTAAAACTGCAACCAGTGAGGACCATAGACCAAAGAGGCGCCTGGCTTTGTCTCTGTCCATGGTGCTATTGTGCTGCTCTCCTCTGAGTTAATTGTTTGACATAAGCCTACTACTCACTGGTTCACTAGTAGTGGAAGTACTCAGATAATTTACCAAGTATCAATACAACAGTGTATAAATACTCAGTCCTACCTTCATGAAGTTTATAATCAATTTTTGTTAAAACTGTTTTAGAGGTGTTGATTCAACTTTGATTATTTTGGAGTCTGCACTTCATTGTGCTGCTGAATTGTGTTTCATTATACAGAGAGCTGTTTCTGTTATTTAGCCTGCCCTCATTGACATAAATGGGTGGACAAAATAATCAATACGATGCAACACTTGACAATGCAGCCACACAATATGTGATAACGTTTGTGAAGTTCTATCAGTGTGAATCTTTATGGAGGTTCCAGTTCAGGATAGTGTGAATTGCTATTTTGCTTCACTTCACAATTTACAAATGGAGCTAGTAAAATTACAGGTCTAGAATTTGTTTGAGCTCAGGATATATTGTGACGGGAACATAGTGTAAATGCATTTTAAATGACAGAGTGCTTGTAACCCTCCCATTAAAAATCTTTATTAAGTCACATCGATATGGAATGGCACAGCATCTTCACTTTGTCCAAAAGCACTCACATGAAATGTTAAGAGTCAGTCATCAAAGATGCTCCATATATACAAATAATTAAAATTAAATACAATAGCTTTTGAAAAGTAAAATAATCATTATAAATACAAAAAAATGTACAAACAATTTCCCTCATTCCCTTGTTCTTTAATGTACAAGTTGAGGTTTTTCACTAGTGTTGATCAGTTATGTGTTAATCCCGCTCCCTTCCTTTGCTGTATTCTCACGTCTTGATAAGGCCCTCTAAAAAGTCTTTTTCCACCATCTCCTCGATGTCCTGTCGAGCTCGACTCCAGAAGACTTTCTGGCTCTCCAGTTTGTGGCCCTCCTTGTGCCCGGGGAAGGAAGCGCCTGCAAGGTTGTGTGTGTAGGTGGGACCTGAGCGACTGCTGGCCTTGCTGTTGAATACCTGGCTGAGCAGGTTAAAGAAGGGTAGCAGCTGCTCCATGCTGCGGATCACGTAGAGGGTCAGCATCAGGTGACCTGGCTCCCAGGACAGGGCTCGGGTGGAGCAGTCCTCCTCTGGGTTTTTCTATGGGAGAGGGAAATGGATTACAAATTACACAAATGGAAAAAATGAACCTGCCATCCTACAGGTGGGGGACAACGCAGCATGAATGAAATAGGCTACAACTTGCAAAAAAGCGTTTAATGATCGTATCCCTGAACATCCTCTTTGTAAGAAGCAGCCATTTGTCTCCATCATTCAACAACCTTGCGTATACAGAGGGAGGATGAGATACCTTGGCTCGTTTCCTCAGCAGCTTGACTAATCGAACCACGTAAGGTTTAAACTCTCTCTGGTGAGTCCCCTGACGTCTCACTTCCAATCCTGAATCATCGGAAGCCTCTGGGATGAAGGCCCAGCGGTACCTGTAATGAGGCAGGACTTTCTCAGATATAACACAATTTCCAAATAACTTATTCATATGCACTTCACATACTGAGACATTCTGAGTTATTCTTCTCATTGCAAATGATCCTTGCTGTATTCTCTATTCAGTGACAGGCAAACATGCAAAGGCTATTATGACTCAGGCTTGTCTGTACTGACATCTGGAACTGAGGCAGGCTCTCAGGAGGCAGGGCCAAGGCCAGGTCCAGGAGCTTGCAGGCTGAAAGGTAGAGGTTGAGCCAGCGCTGGCTGTTGTAGGAGGTGGAGAAGCCATTCCCACCAGAATAGGTGGTCTCCAACCCAGCCACAGACGGCCCTGATGTCCTAGAGATGGACATTAGAGGATAAACAATCATTGGAATACAGAAGAAGTCATTTATGATGTTCATTTTCTGCTATGATCCAGTTTGCAATATCAACAGATAATGTACCTTGATATGTCCTCATCTGCTGTTAGCTCCTGCTCCATCAGAAGAAACACCTGAACCTGCAGGGAGACAGATGTAGAGTGTATGAATGAGTGTGTGTGAGTTGGTAGATATGTGGAGGACTGAAAGAAAGAAACACATCAAGGATGCAGTTAAGTGAGCAAAACAAACAAAAAAAAGAAGCCTGTAGCCAACGACTGCTTCTCACCAGTTCAGTGATCATGGTGGGCCACAGTGAGGTGAGGTGTTGAGGTGACATGCGCAGCAGCAGCACTCTAAAGAACAGGAACACCTGAGCGTGGAGGATGGGCACCTGAGGTAGACGCAGGCTCTCCACCAGACGCTCTGAACACACAAACACACGTACAGTAAGTATCTGCTTTGGGAACATATGGTAAAACATGCAGGTTAATAAACCCCAGAGGTGGAAAGAGTACAAAAATATTCTACTTAAGTAAAAGTACAATTACTTTGATGAACAAGTAAAATTACAAGTATAAAAATCTACTCAAGTAAAAGTAAAAAAGTAGCTCATTTAAAATTTACTCAGTAAAAGTTACTTAGTTACTTTAGTCCTAAAATGGCTTATTTTTATTGATTTAATATCTCATTTATACTTGTTATAATTATTTAATTAAATTGCAGTCTTTTGTGATTTGATAAGGAAAAAAAGCCATATGGCGCTTTCAATTTTAGTTTGTTTGACAGATACTTTTCCAAATCAGTGGCAAAAAACATTAACATTCTATGTTACAATGAAACTGTGGTGGAACAGATTAGACTCTGGACACACTGGATTGGGAAAACGGGAAACACTGGACTGTATATGAAGTCATATCTCTATTTACATTCAAACAGGAGGTAATTTTAACGGGATATCATAAGCGTTAGTATAATAAATAACTAGTTACCAGCAAGTTGCTAATCCAACCAACACTGTCATGCATCGTTGTCTGTTTGGCTATTTGCAGAAAAGCATCTTACCAAACTATGAAAGCTTATTTTTAACCACCAATGGAAATAGGCTATTAGCTATAACTGACCTCTGCATCAGGGGTCCTCAACTACATTTGTTCAAGGGCACGAAAATTTCTAAGCAGACACTGTGAGAACCGGACTTTCAAAAATAATTGCCATATTACTTTTGTTTAATGTTTTCAAATTTCGCAAAATGAACGTTTTTATTGGCTTATATCAGTGTGAAGAGACTCCTAAAAAACATGGTAGGCCTAAATCCATAATGATAAATGTACATAGGCTACTAGAGAGGCCTACTTAACTAGAAAATGCTCTCAGACCGCAGCCAAGGAGGCAGTTCACTGAGGAGTGATGGTTAAAATCTGTAATTGTAAAATGTAACTCCGGTTTTGACGCTATTATGCAGCTGCCCGTTATTGTGCATGAGCCATCTGTAGTTACTGGTGGTAACAGCAGATACATTTTAATACCACAGGGCACAGAAGTCTGGGGCAGCTAAACAAACTATTTAGTTATTGGTATTTTCCATAATTATGTGAGCAGTCAAGATCTGACTTTATGCTGCACACAACATGAGTCTGCGAACAGTTAAAGTGAAAGGAGTTTGTTACCTGTCTGAGAAGGTTGAGGTGTGCAACCTGTCACATGCAGCTCTTTATCTAACAGCTCACTGTGTCTGCTCCTGACTGTTGCATTACTCACTGCAATATTACAAACTGGTCCACTGTCAGAAAACTGTTAAATGACTGTTGTCTTGTTGTGTAGACGCATTTTTGATGAATAAGAGCAGTCAGCGCTAATCTCACTTACAAACAGATTGCACTTCCTGTGACTACTTCAAAATAAAAAAAGTCAACTTGTGTTTTGCCAGTTAAATGCTTTTAATGTGAAGCTGGAGCAGCAGGAAATGTTCAGTTTGCATTAGCAGTAACTTAATACAGCATTTTTTAACAGCTTACACTGCTTCATGATAAAGCTGTTCTCTCCACAAAGTGGTTACGAGTTTTTCCTTGCACTTTTTTTTTTTTTTACTCAATAATGGAGGGGATTGAAAATGTAGCGAACTACAATACTTTAAACAAAACATACTTAAGTTACAGTAAAATAACATTTTTAAAAATACTTTAAAAAGTACAAGTACATAAAGAACTACTCAATTACAGTAACGTGAGTAACTGTAATTCATTACTTTCCACCTCTGTTAAACCCAGATGTAGATCCCTGTGCAGTTAGCATAAGGTCTATTTCACAGTCTGTGTTTACCTTCAGTCAAACTCAGAAACAAGCATTTGAAATCATTCATGTAATAATTATGTTTATTTGGAAAGCTGTAAAGCTCCTCATTTCCTTGAGTCTCTAAAAAGGAGGTGGCGAGTCTGAAGTTAGCGTGACCCACTGACTCAAAATGGCCACATTTATGAGAAATACGCAAGCTGAAATAAACCGAAATTGTGGTGTTGTGGGAAATGAGCTCTCCCAGTGAGGTTGTAAACTGCTGCTGCTCACAGTAGCTGTATACAACAGTGGTACATATAAAGTATACTGTACGTGTGTATCGTTTACCTTGTATGTCTGGCAGGTATTTCTGGTACTGGTCCACTTCACTGCTGTAGATGGTGAAAGCCAGGCGTTTGAGCAGCATGGCTCTCTGCTCCAGCTCAGCGTCTCTGTTGGTGAACAGACTCAGAGAGCTGCTCTGGGCTACAGCCACCCGGGCTAAAGGGAAATACACACAGTCATTATTATATTACACATCTGCCAGTTTTTAAACTGTTTCTTCAGTTTTTCCCCCTTCTCCGACTTCGGATAGGATAAACTGTGTGGTATGCTGTACAGACTGTAAAGCACTTTGAAGCACATTTGTGCTCTGTGACAATGGACTACATTAATAAAATTGACTTGACTTTAACTATGGCACATTGGCATATTTC